TTTTCTTATGGAAAAGAGTAACACCTTGTAAATAACTCCTTGAACTATGTAATGGCAATTTGCCGCTTTAGTTCGAGGGTTATTAGGATTTCTTTATCTTCAAATAAATATAGTTTAAACCAACTATTTATACTGTTAATAGCAACTTTCAAAATGCTAAAAGAAAAACCGCTAAGGAACAATAATGCTGATATCGGTGACTATTGAGTAAATGATTTGTGAAGCAAACTGTATAGCAAGAAAGACAACTGAGAATCAGTTTTGAATGCAACATCAATGATAATGAACGTTTTGGGGTCAATATTTAACACTAAAGCATATCAGACTTCGAAGCAGATTAGAAAAACCTGATTCTATTCGATCCAACCCGTTCGGACACAAATTAAAGCTGGGTTCTCTTTTGCTTTCAAATGTTTGTTTAAAATATACTGTCTCGGATTAGAACACTTGAGCAGAACATGTTCGATCCGATTCAACACAAAGTCGAATCATTCGATTCGTTTTGGTCTCTGAAGCATCCATATCGGCACTTGATATGCTCCCGTTCAAAATGGCACTGCTTTTTAACGATACAAACTATTCGTGCATTTCTTCACAAAATTTTCATTTACTTTTCTCCCTTCCATCGGTCTTTTAAGTGTTGGTTTATATGAAATAAAACATTTGTTTATCCATTTGAGAGAATTAGACCATGCATGTGTAGGTTTTACAAAAGCAAGTTTGTCCAGTTGTGTTTGTTATCCAAAGAATGATTGTCTTCGTATATTGTGTTTTATTGCAACGACGTGTCCACGCAGCGATCCACTTTTCCTGAAGACAGTCACGCTTTGTCAAGATTATAGTTCTCCGAGGAAAGCTCTTACGGAGCTTGGAGACATCTCATTTCAAGATCAAACAGTTTTCTTAAAAAAAGTGACAATTAAGCGAATGCTAATAGTTGGTACCGCGCTCATACATAGACTGTAAACTGAGTGCCGTAGTTGAAAGATGTAGCATCCGAAATCCATTTAGTTATCTACGTTCGCGTAATTATTATTTTAAAAAAAACTTGCTGAAGGCGGGCGGGGGGCCCCCCCCCGCCGCCATCATCGTTTTTTTGTGGAGATGGTTGATGTTGTTGGAATGAGGGGCGGC